TTGTTGCAGTTTCCCCTTTACAGATAAATAAACTTACAAAAATCACTCTTGTCATCTTTATAGATAAGGAGAGTGAGGCTTGGTCACAAGCTCAGGGTGGACTGAAGTCTCCCTGACTTCACGGCCAGCGAAAAAATTCACAAACTTCCTCTCTCAATGCATAAAAATTTCCCTTTCCCTCATTTCTGTCTCAAGGATACATCAGGCCGGGCGCGGTGGCTCAAGCCTGTAATCCCAGCACTTTGGGAGGCCGAGACGGGCGGATCACGACGTCAGGAGATCGAGACCATCCTGGCTAACCCGGTGAAACCCCGTCTCTACTAAAAAAAAAAAATACAAAAAACTAGCCGGGCGAGGTGGCGGGTGCCTGTAGTCCCAGCTACTCGGGAGGCTGAGGCAGGAGAATGGCGCAAACCCGGGAGGCGGAGCTTGCAGTGAGCTGAGATCAGGCCACTGCACTCTAGCCCGGGTGACAAAGCAAGACTCCGTCTCAAAAAAAAAAAAAAAGGATACATCTACTTTTATCTTCCTCCCCACACAACATCAAGATCCTACCACATAGTAGGTATGGATATGATAGTATCTTTAAACGTTTACGTAGATACAATTGTATCCTTATTGTAACTTTTCATTCAGCAAATGTTTTGCCCCATACTGGTGTGTCATGCAACGACATGAGACAGTGCTGTCTCCTGGTACCCCCAGGGGTTAGCTTAGAACTGTATGTGCCTACCTACTCATATTCTGTGTTTTGTGTAGGGCCAGATGCATCTTTCAACATAAGGGAACATAACAGCAAAGGATCCCACAGTAAATCAGGGTCCAAGATAATGCCAGTATAAGTTAACTGCTCTTCTCTGTGTTTTAGTCTCACTTTGGTGCATATCAGTTACCATCTTTTATTGAAATTATCTGTTTATATAGTTGTCTTCCTGTTCAGTAGCCTGGCGCATAGTATGTACTCAACAAATGGTTGTTAAAAGAATAAATAGAATGAAGAAATGAATGACTGAATGAGTAAATAAAGCTCTCAGGGTCAGGAACCGTATCTTCCATCAGTGTCTGACAAAGCACCCAGCATTAAAGGGTGTTGTGTAAACATATGTGAATGAAACTATTGAACTAACCTTGGAGCTGACCTGACATATTAGAGGTTCTTAGCGTCATTAAGTTCCTATTTTTGACTTACCAGTCATCAGCTAGTTGTAGTTTCTGAGTATTACCTGTTTCTTCTTAGTGTCTCTGAATATGTGCTTTCTTTTGTAATTAAGATTCTTCACTTGGTAATAATTCTGGCCAATGGAATGCAAACTAACATCTGTTGCATGGCCAGGCAACACTAGCAACACTGGATTATTCCATGCCTGGACTATGCAACTTTCAGGCTTTTGTGCTTCAATTACACTGTTTGCTCTGCTTCTCATAATTCTCCCTCATGTTTTCTTCTCTGCTCCTCAACTCAAAGAATTCCAACTCATTCTTCAAGGCCAAGATCAAATATCACTTCCTCAAAGAAGCCTTTCTCAACCCTACTTTTTTCTTTGCCATGATTCTCTATCATTTCATAGTTCTAGTTATCTCTCCCATGATGCTTTGTTCATACACTAACAAAATGTGTCAGTAGATATTTGTTTCTATGTAACAGTTTCCTCTTCTATCACGTTAGCTTGGAGAAAATGAAATTTGTCCTGAGTATATTTGCATGTCTGTATTAGGGTTCTCTAGAGGGACAGAACTAATAGGATAGAGAGATAGGTGGATTGGCTCATGTGATTAAAGAGGCTGAGACATTCATCGATAGACCATCTGTAAGCCTGGAGACCCAGGAATGCCAGTAGCATGGTTGTCCAAACTGGAGGGCCTCAGAACCAGAGGAAGCCCTTGGTGCACCTCTCATTCTGAGGCTGAAGACCTAAGAAGCCAGGAGGCCACTGGTGCAAGTCTCAGAGTTCAAAGGTTGGAGAACCTAGAGTTCCGATGGCCAACGACAGGATAAGAAGAGTGTCTCAGCTCCAGTAGAAAGAGCAAGAGAGCCTTTCCTCCGCTTTTTACTCTATCCACACCCCCAGCTGATTAGATGGTGCCCACCCACGTGGAAGGAGGATCTCCCCAACTCAGTCCACTAACTCACATGCCAATATCCTCTGGAAATAACCTCATAGACACACCCAGAAATAATGGTTTAACACCTATCTCTTAATCCAGTCAAGTTAATACCTAAAATTAACCATCACAATCTCCAAAGTCAAACATAGTGCCTGGTTGGAGACCTACATGTGTCGAATCAATCAAGAAAACTCACAGTGTGGTGTGTAGTATACAGAGTTACTTTAACCTAGGTCTGAGTTATAGCTCAAGCCACTTACTACCTGTTAACCTTGGACACATTATTTAACCTTTCTGAACCCTTGTTTTCTCATTTGTAAAGCAAGGATGATAAAAATAATATAAATTAACTTTTGAACATGGCTTGAGAATTTAATGAGTTAACACCTTTACAGTTATGTAGAGCAGTGCCCGAGGCACAGTAGGCACACAATAAATATTAGCCCTTATTTTAATAATCATCTTATGTCGTGAGATTGGTCTCCAAGAAGGGCAGTGAAAATATTATCAAAAGAATCACCAATTGCTGCTCAGGAGCATTGAAGGAGCACTTTGAGTTGGAAAAGTGTCAACAATTTTCATTGAAGCTAGATGCGCATGTCTATGCCTAGTGGGTAGCCCTTAATTTGCTTTTTCTTCACATTTCTTGGCGACTCAATGCTGAGGGACCCATGTCTCTGATACCTGGCTCAGAGCCCAGTCTCCTAGGATGCTATTTCAACTTGACCCAGCTATAAAAGCATAGGAGCCCCAGTCATCAAATAAAGCAGCAGAGCAACGAAGGTCTGTGCTGTCTGGTCAAGGGTTAGATTTGGATGGTTAGGGAGCTGGAAGATATTGGTATGGGATTGTGGGGTTGGAGAGATGGATTTGGCCTAGGAGAACGGAAGGAAGCCTCCAGCAGCAGGAAATCATTTTCTTGCTAGCCTGTGTTTCAGTTAGGGGCAAATATTAGAAGCAGGAACTGCCTCAAGGTAGGAGATAATAGGACTGAGGGTTTTAGGTAAGGGATATCCTGCTACAGAGATGATAACGTGATCTGGTATGTGTTTTTCTCTGCATGTCAAATGAATAACAAGGATTCATTTGCTTTTGCCACAAGATGCACAACATTCTCTACTCCTCCCTCTGCGGTTGCTGCTGGAGGCCACTCATGTAGGGCACCCATATTCATGACAGCTTGAAAGCACCAGAGAAAGCCAGCTTCTATGTTACATTGTAAAATCGCAGCAGGCTTATTTCTTTGAGAGCACGTACTGTTTTGAGTCCTGAGAAGACCCCTTTGTATCTTGCCTACCTCTCCTCTTTGAGAGCCTGTAACATACGTGCAGTGGGCATAGAGCATGCACCAAGACTGCGCTGTGCTAGTGGATTTACTTTCGATTGCTAGTATAACAAATTACTACCAATTTAGGGGCTTAAAACAGCACCCATTTATTATCTCACAGTTCTGTAGGTCAGAAGTCCAGTAGGCTCAGATGGTTTCTCTGTTTCAAGTCTCACAAGACTGACATCAAGGCATTCGCTGAGCCGCTTTCCCTTCCGGAGGCTCTAGGGGAGAGTCCATTTCCAGGTTAATCCAGGTAGTGGGCAGAAATCACTGTCTGTAGGATTGAGGTCTGTTTCCTTGCTGGTTGCCATCTGGGCATCTCCCTTGGTATTTAGAGGCCTCTTTTGAGTCATTGTAGGTAGTCTCTGCACCCCCAGAGCTAGGAATGGCATATTAAATTCTTCTCACCCTGGATTTCTTCTGTCTCTGCTTCTTGTGCTGCGTCTCTATGACAAACTCTTCTGCCTTCCACTTCTGCTTTTAAGTGCTCAAGTGATTAGATGGGGCCCCCTTGATAATCCACGATAATCTTCCTATTTTAAGGTCTGTAATCTCAATCATATCCACATTGTCTCTCTTGCCATGTAAAGTAACGTATTCACAAGTTCCCAGAGATTAGGGCTTGGAAATCTTTGGGGGACATTATTCTGCCTATCATAGCTAGGTTCTTTTCATATTTTTCTCCCATAATCCACATAACAGCCTTGTAAAGGAAGCATTGTTATACCCACGATACACGTATAGTAGCTGAGGTTCAGAGAGGTTCCTATTACAGCTGATAAACGGGGAAGCCAGAGTTTGAATCTTGCTTCAGAGCTCACACTTCTTCCTCTGTCAGAGAGGGAGGGGTGGAAGCAAAGCCATTGTTTGACCTGCCACTCTCATTGCATTTCCCACGATTGTTTCACTAGAGCTGCTTCTCAATTTAGCAAGGTCGTCACTGTGTCCACCAAAGATTTCTAAGGCTCCTCCTGGGTGCATGGTATGTGTGTCTGCTGGGTCTCAGCAGAAAACAGATGGCATGCTCAAATGAAGTTATTGAGAAGAGATTAATAAAAGGACTGTTTACAAGGCTGTGAGTGGGGCAATGGGAAACCAACCAGGAATGACAGAGCACGTTGGCTAACAACAGCTGTTGCACCCCGCGCCTAGAGGAGCATGGGGAAGAAACAAGTTACTAGAACCCCGAGAGAAAGGAGAAACTGAAGGAGGAGCTGCCTGGCTGGAGCTGTGGCCTTCCATAGTGGAACACCGCTACAACCAGCCTGGCAGGGAAGTAGGTGGCAAACTAGATGACTTCACTCTCCTCACTCCCTCTGAACTCCCACTATTGGCAAATCTTAACCAGGAGCCAGAGGAAAGGGGAGTCTGTTTATGCAGTTCTTGAATTTTAACTTTCCAGGCTCAGAGCAGAGTATAGAAAGGTAGAGGGTGGATCTGAGAGAGACTATCCAGCACTGTGAGACTGTCCTTCCCTGTGCCGTTGAAATCGGGTATGGCAGTGGGACTCACTCAGGCCGGTATGTTAGTTTCCTAGGATGACCATAGCAAATTACCATAAACAGAAGGCTTAAAACAAGAGAAGTTTATTCTCTCACTATTCTGAGGGCCACGCCCTCTCCAAAGGCTCCTGAGAAGACTGCTGCCTTCCTAGCCTGGCAGCCTTTGGCATTCCTTAACTTGAGCTGCATCACTCCAGGCTCTGCTGCTGTCTTCGCGGGGTCTTCTCTGTCTCCGTGTGCTCTCCTGTTCGTATAAGGACATCCATCATTAGATTTAGGGACCATCATTAGATTTAGGGATCATCTTGAGATCCTTAACTAAATATACCTGCAAAGACCCTATTTCTAAATAAAGATCACATTCTAAAGTTTGGGGTGAACATGAATTTGTGGAGGGAGGTGGGGTGGATAATATTCAACTCACAAGGCCGGGCACTGTGGCTCACACCTGTAATCACAGCATTTTGGGAGGCCGAGGCAGGCGGATCATGAGGTCAAGAGATTGAGACCATCCTGGCCAACATGATGAAGCCCTGTCTCTACTAAAAATACAAAAATTAGCTGGGTGTAGTGGTGCACACCTGTAGTCCCAGCTACTCAGGAAGCTGAGGCACGAGAATCGCTTGAACCCAGGAGGCAGAGGTTGCACTGAGCCGAGATGGCACCACTGCACTCTAGCCTGGCAATAGAGCGAAAGACTCCGTCTAAAAAAAAACCAAACAAACAAAAAAACAGAATGAATGAATGAATAAATAAATAAATAAAATTCAACTTACAATAACCATGTACATCTGGACCAAAGTTTTTAGGCCTAGCTTGCAATTTTTTTCTTTTTTCTTTCCCTCTGCCATGGCAATCAGCAATGCTCAGACAGCAGCTGCCCGCGCAGCCTGGGTCCTAGAGTGAGGATGAGGCAGAGCAGAGCCCTGGGTGACCTACAAAGGAAACATAACATAAATAGAGATAAATGTGTCATCTCTCCTGAAGTATGCCACGTATGTACGGTAGTTAATGACCACAGCCCATCCCTTCAGAGATACTGCCGGCAGCCACGGTAACTCCCTACTTCCTTCCTTTCACACAAACACCCTTGAATTGACCGAAACCATTCTATAGACTCATTGTTTCTTTTAATCCCAACCCCATTGGCAACATTTTCCTGCACTGGAATTCCTCTTTGGGGCCAAGGCATAGAAAGAAATAGATCTCCAAGGACTGCCTTTTGTATCCTTAGAGGGAGAAGTTTTGTAGGAAAAGAAAATGAAGGCTAGAGTACATGGGTGTTCTCTGAAATGAGCTGCAGAGTAGCTGTCTGCATTGCAGACTGACAATTTCAAATGAATCCTCCACCAGAAGCAGCCAGGAATGTCTGTTGAGAAAACTGTTTTCTGCCTACACAGGGCTCTCTAGGTGCACCCTTCTCTGCCCTGCTATGACCACTTGTGCAAAACCGCTGGAGAAACTGTGCCTCATGAAGTTTGCTTATTGATGCTACTACATGAGCTCTCTGAGTTCCATCTGCCAATCTTCTTTTCTCTAATACTGACCTCATTGCTATGGGTGTGGGCCAATGGACTCGAACTATCTTTAGGGGGCCTTAAAAGTGAAATGGATAAACTGGGTTTGAACAGACGAGACAGACAGACATGTCTGGAATCATGAGAAAGGTTGCCTGATTCCAGGCCCCGCCCACCTCACTAATCTGTCTTGAACAGCCTCTGAGTTTGACTGCTCCCACATACTAACTGCTGCTGCAGAAGCTGCAACTTCCCTCATCTCTTCACCAACCACAAGCCCTGGGAACCACAAACGGTAGCAAGAAAGAAAGATGTTATACCAACACTGAGCTTAGAGGGGTGGTTCTGAAAGGGTGCTACTTGGATTTACAGCATCTGCAGCACCGGGAAACTTGGAAATGCAAATTCTTGGGCCCAGCCCTAAACCTACTAAAGGAGACACACTGGAGTGTGGCCGAGCAATCTGTGTTTTATCAAGTTTTCCAGGTGATTCTGGGGCATGCTAAAGTTTGTGAGCCACTGGCTTAGTGTCCGACCTCAGAAGACAAGCAGCCTGCCTGTTCCATGATTTATCTTGGTAAAAGTATCACCAGTTCCTCTGTCCCCTTTGCTTGGTCAGGAGGGATCTACCTGTAGTAGAGTGGAGAATCCCTGTGAACCCAAGTTGTATCCTGGCCTCCTGGGTGTTTTGTATTAGCTTCAGGTCACAAGTGCTAGTCGGGGTTGTGTAGCACCCAGGAGACAGGAACAAGTCAGCTACAAGTGAAGCCTCTCATGTGGACAGCAGGATCTCTAACATCTGTTAAAGCAGCACATGTTCTACCTTTGTTCTGATAGAAACCAATGTGTACTTCAAAGTGGCTTGAGGATCTCTTTAATTCTATATTTGGTGAGTTTAGAAATACTTTAAGAAACTGGTTTCACTGTAGTTTACAAAATGCCCTTTTTGTGTGTCTATCAAAGTACTTTGTATCTGAAATCTTTGCTAATCTCTTGTGAGTTTCCATTTACAAGATGCCATTTTGATAAAATGCAGGAAGTGTCCATACGGTTATGCAATTGTATCTCTTTGTCTGGAGAATGAAGGAAACGAAACTGGGGGATCCCCTGGAGGAATGACAGATCAATAACCCATTTCACCAGGTGGCAAATTCAGTGGGTCCCATGAGGCAGTGTGTGGAGTAGGGGAGAAATGAGTCATACTCTATAATTCAAAAGAAAATGATACGTTCATTTTTGACAGCCATCTGGGCTAGACCACCTGGAGCTGTTTCTGGCGCACTAAGGTAAAGAGCTCATCCTAACCTGCCCTGTCCTCGAAAGCAGCGTTCTCTACACAGGACTTGCATCAGTGCTGCACTGGGCTCCTGGCAGACAAATCAGTCAGACCTAACCGATGAACTCCGCTTCTTCAGTAGTTTGGATAATTCTCTTAATTTTGTCTGATAGTACTGAATTGCCTGAGAAAACTCACTGGTTTCTTGCACAGCGCAGTCTGTGAATCAGGATTTTTTTTTTGTCCTTTTTATGTGAAAAAGTTGTACTTCTTAATCTTGTCCTCCTCTCCACCTTCAGAGCTCTCACTGTGTTTTGGAGTGTGGTAAGTATGGCCCCAGGAGGCCAATAGAATCCTGTGATTTGTGCTCTAATAATCTGTATCCTGCCTGCCTTTTTGGGGTCTATTAGTCCATTTTCACACTGCTGTAAAGACATACCCGAGACTGGGTAATTTATAAAGAAAAGAGGTTTAATTAACTCACAGTTCTGCATGACTGGGGAGGCCTCAGGAAACTTACAATCAAGACAGAAAGGGAAGAGACACATCTGACGTGGCGGCAGGCAAGAGGGACAAAAGTGAGTAGTGAAGAGCGAAGAGCCTCTTATAAAACCATCAAATCTTGTGAGAACTAAGTCATTATCATGAGAACATCATGGAGAAACCACTCCCGTGATCCAATCACCTCCCACCAGGTCTCTCCCTAGACATGTGGGGATTATGGGGATTAAAAGATGAAATCTGGATGGGACATAGCCAAACCGTATCAGAGTCTGAGCCTTATGCCTATCTGCCTTCATTTTTCTTCCAAGAAATGCTTTGTGTTAATGGGACTGTAAGCTAGGCAAAAAGGTATCAAAGGGCTAAGGGAAATAGTATATGTAAGTGAGCATGCATATCACAAGTGACAGCTTTTTTCCATGGAAGTTAAGATGGTCTCAGTGTCCCTAATTGGCACCTGCATATCTGTGTGCATGCACACTCTGAGGGGGTCATACATGGCTGAATCCACCCTACAGAGCCCGAGTGGACAGTTGTCCACGGGCTGTGATTGAATTTTGCTTCAGGGACCTCTTGATGACTACCCCAGCTGGTCCAGGCCAAGTGCCTGTTGGAAATTCCCACAATCTTTGAAAGTTGGACTTAGGCATTGAAAGTTGTTTAAATGCAAATTACTTTCCACAAGGTAGAGACATTATTATTCATTAATATTTGGGCTTTAATGAATCTATCAACTTAGAAGAGAATGTGCCAGGGTCCTCATTTGGCCATGCAAGTCAAAGAGAGGTGTTTTAATAATGACAGTTCAAAGAGGAAAGAGTAAGTTCTGAAACGTTGTAGAAACTAAAGCCACAGACTTAAGGAGTAGTATGAGGACACTAGTGATTGGTAAGACATGAAATGAAAAAAGGGAAGTGGGAAAGTGGAAGATAAAATGCCTTCATAAGTCCACAGGTCATTTCTGCCTATGGCTCCTAGTGACTGTCCTAAGCACAACTGTTTGTGGAAACCCTTGCTGAGACACTGATACATTTTACCTCTGCTGTAGCGTTATTGCTTCAAAGAATTTATTCATTTATCAAACACCTGGAGCATGCCTATACACCGTGGGCGTATCAGGAAAACAAAACAGGCAAAATCCTCTGCCCTCATGGAGCTTGCATTTTAGTGGTGAGATGGGGAGAGACAACAGACACAATGAATAAGGAAAATGTGGTGTTAAATGGTGTTAGATGCTATGGAGAAAAGTAAAGCAGTGAGGGGGTGCTGTTTTAAATAAGGTGGTCAGAGAAAGCTCACTAGGAGATAGCATTTGAGTATAAAGTGAGTAAAGGGTGAGCAAGCCAGGCAGATGTCAATGTAGAGATCGTTTCAGACAGAGGGGAAGGTCCATGCAAGGCCCTGCAACAGGAGCATGCCTGGCTTATAGAGGAAGATCAGGGGCTCGGGGAGTGGTCAGTTTGGCCAGCCCCAAGTGAGAAAGGAAAACAGCAGCAGATGAGATCAGAGAGATCATGGTGCAGGGACGGGAAGGGAGGTGGGGATGGGGAAGTTCAGATCATACAGGGCCTTAGAAGACTTTAACGCTGAATGAGGGAGTTTTGAGCAGGACAATAATATTATTCAACTTACAATTTAAATAGGCTATCACAGGGGTTAGCAAACTTTTTCCGTAAAAGGGAAGAGATGGTAAATATTTTTTCAGGCCGTGAGATCTCTTGCAACTCACTGACTCTGCCATTATAGCATGAAAGAACCACAGACAAGGTAAACTAATGAGTAGGGCTGTGTTCCAATACAACTTTATTTACCAAAGCAGTTCATAGGACAGATTTTGCCCATGTTGACCCTTAGGCTATTGCAATAATCTGGAGGAGAGATGAAGGTGTTTTGGATCAGAATTGTAATAGTAGTAGAAGCAAGAAGGGGTCAGATACTGGCTGTATTTTCAAGGTAGAGCCAGCAGGATTTGCTGTCAGACCAAATACTCCAAGGTTTGTGGTCTGAGCAACTAGAGTCACACTGTTGAAATGGGGAAAACCAAAAGGGGAGGTGGGTAGGAGGAGAGGTATAAGGAATCCATTTGGGACATGAACATTTGAGATTCCTTTAGGATAAAAGAATTGGATTCAATGTTCTGTAATTCCCCTTCTAGCTCTAATATTCTATGACTCTACAACTGTGAGAGAATGACGTCTACCCCAGTGGCTTCTGCTGTGATCGTGTTCTTCAGGGAGACCTTCCACACTGCATTACTCCATCCTTCCCAAATGCAATTGGTGATTATGTTGGCTAGAGATAAGTTGCTGGAAGGAAGAAATGCTGAAAGGGAGGCAACTTCCAGCTGAAACTAGCAGGGGGACTTGGAAGAGTGTCATAAACAGTATATGTGCCGGAGGAGGCTTTGAGGGCTGGAGGCAAGTTCCTGTGTATCTTAGTTTCTGGGGGGTTACTAGTAATGGAGTGTTGTCAGTGGAGCAGGCTAATTTTTAACATGTTTTCAGAAAAGAGCAATGCAACTTCTTAAACTTCACATTTACTCCATGGTCAAAATGGCCAGACTTCAGTTGTGCTCACCCTCTGTAGAGATGCCCTGGAGCCCTATGTGGATTCCGATGGCCTCTATACGCCTGCAGGACACAGCCGTGGTCTTTGTCACTAGCTTCCCAGGCAATTTCGTCTGTCTTCTCT